AAACTTTTAATATATCCAAAAAAAAAAGTCCATTGATGTTAACCCAGATGATCTAGGGGGCTAATTGACAGCACCACCCCTACCTATCCACTTTCCGGGAAATTTTCTGTCTAAATATTCTCTAACGTTACGCGTGTAATGTGCTGGAGCACCGTCTAGCTGCAGAAACATTGTTCTTCTAATATTTAAAGGGATATTTTGCAAAAGTATCCAAAAGTCTCTTCGTAGAAATCTTAAAAACTTTTGTTTATTTAAATGGCCATTAAAAAAATACGGTCCTATCACATGTTCTCCTATTATTCCACCATATACATTAAGGGACCATCGGTTTTGTCGATCAGTACATCTATATTCATGTTGATTTTCCGTATTATAATAGTGAAAGTTATGTCGATTCACGAGTCCATTATTATGGAAAGTAGATTCATCAGTGAAAAAAATTTTATCAAAAAAATGTTGATCTGCTCCCGTTTTGTCTAGAAACCATAAACAAAATTCTAACCTACGTTCAAAATCAGTTCCATACAAATGCTGATGCATTTGAATATGGTATGGGTGATATTGATATTTTTTAAGAATTCTGCATATACTAGTTTGGCTTATTTCAATCTCCCTGGCCATCGTCCTTGTACTTGTATTTGGATTTTCAATAACTGATTGAATAACTTCTAATTCGGTATTTTCATCTTCAGTTATCGGATTTATTAATTTTCGTTTAGTATAAACAACACTGCCAGTTTCACGAAACCTTGTTAAGACTCTGTCAAATACTTCTTTACGAGGATGACGTTTTAAGGGAAATCTCTCAGCATAGACTCTTGATGCTAACAAACTGTTTTGATCACATTCACCTAGTATTAAAATCATATTTACTCGGTCTTCAATTGAATAATCTGCCATTTCTATTTAATTGAAAGCAATACAGTTAATAGTTTGACAATTAGTTTGACAGCTAGGTACCTTTTGTTTTTTCATGGCATTCTTTATAATAACGAGCTATGTAATTAATGACATTTAATGTTCCAGGTAACATAATGCAAATAGATTTGAAGATACTAGATATTAATATAAAATTTTATAATAGTTTGATTATAATAATTGTTACAACATTCAAATACAGGGTTTTTGTTTAAGTTAGAGTAGAACTTTATGTAATAAAGTGATAAAAATTAATTAATTTCAAGAATACATAGTGCATTTAAAAAAAAAAACGCAAATAAATCAAAAATTCTCAAAGATAGGTATAGGGATTGTTTAATAAAGTAATATTATTTTTTTAATTAGAATTCAAAATTAAAGTAAAATACAGGGTGTCCCATTTACGTTAAGAAAGTAATTATACAAAATATGGTACAGCATTGATACTTCAGATTGCGAACACTCTGTAGATTAGTTTCAAATGGTAATTATTCTGATGTAAAGCATGGACACTTGACAATTAACTGACAAAAAGGCGTTAATTAAAATTCATGCGATATTGTGTAATTAATTAATTTCGCGAATAGTACATTTTCAGAAAAACTCAAATAAATCGAAACCGGTCAAAAATAGGTATAGGGAATGTTGAATAAGGTAACATTATTTTGTTCAGTAGAATTCAAAATTAAAGTGAAATATATGTTGTTCCATTTAAATAAGTATAAGTTTATATCATTACGCCAAATTGGGACACCCTGTACATATCTCACAAATTTTAATTTGTAGCCGGTACTAACCTACGTACTACTGCAAAAGAAATTTTTAATATCTTTAGCCGTTTCCCCGGTAGGCTCCGTCCCGTTGAGCGTGACTCACCCTGTATATCAAAGACTAAAAAATATTTTCTTACAAAAGTTATATATTTTTTTCAAGAGGAATTCAAATCTGCAATAATAAATTGGGGTTCCTATTTTCGAAGATTTCAAAGTTGACACCCGCCCCACTCTTAAGGGTATTGCTAGGGGCTTGCAATTTAAATTTAAATTCGAATTCAAATCTGCAATAATAAATGAGGGTTCCAATTTTCCAAGATTTCAAAGTTGCCCCTCACCCCGCTCTTAAAGGTGTGACTAGACGCTCGCGTTTGATCTTATTAATCTCATTTGTTTTGAAAAATATTCAACACATGTTTTTTAGTTTTTATTTCCATTTTTAATTCACGGCATATATAATAAACACATGTGCTGATGATATTTTTCTAAACAAGCAAAACGATGTGGCTTGCTTGTGTTTTTGATTGTCGCCACAAGAAAACCAAATGAAGACGTGGGTAAAATTTAAATTCACCTGACAATTAATTAATGGATTTTGGTGCTTTGTAGTTAGATGTTAGTTAGATGTGTTTTTTGTTAATTCTATTTAATATATATGAGCCCCTTAAAGTAAAATTGGTGTAACTCCATTGTCCATTAATTTTAGTTAAGGTCTAAATTGTATTCCGCAACAAGTAGGTATTTTATATTAGCACAAACGGTGTAAGTTATAAGTCATATAGTAACCATGTAGGTAGGCAACATATTTTTTGTTGTCAGTGGAGTCACCTATCTGTTGACAGCCAAAGTGAAGTGCAAGAGATATACACCACTTTTCGTGCAACTGTTTTTGTTTTCACACTTGTTTGGGGATGTTAGTTTTTGATACATTAAGTTTCATTTGCATATTTAATTATATTTAGTGTAGAAATGAGCTTTTTTAATGAATATAGTCTCTCAGAGCCAAGTCTATTCGTTGATAATGGGTCTGGCGATGAATATTTTGCAACACATTCCGATCAATCAAGTACAGGTAAGAGATTATGTCATTTTTTTCAATAAAATTAATCTAGCGTTAAGTTAAAAGTTGTTTTTAATAAAATGGAGTTACATCAACATTTTTTTTTATTTTATTTCAGAAGATGAGAGGGGTTTGATAACAATGAAGCAGAACCGGTTACCGATGTAGCCGAAGAAGATGCGCCTAAATGATGTTGGAAAAGACAAATTAATGAAAACAAAAAAGAACAGAGAAAAAGACAAAGAAACTGTGGGCAATCATATACAACAAAAACAGGAAAAGTGGTTGCACAGAAAGTATTCAGTAATCATGATTGCAACTGTCGAAAAAGGTGTTTTCATACTATCTTAGAGCAATCCCGAAAAAATGTGTTTGACTCGTTTTAGAAGATAAGATCTTTCGTCGCTCAAATCGTATTTCTGTATGGTCTAATAAAACAAGAAACGCCAAAACGTTGCCGACCGACCATAAGTGTTAAAAATAAAAAAAATGCCACTAATATATCACAATAACATTGCTGGAAAAACTGAGACTATGTGCAAAAAACATTTTTTGTAGACTTTTCTTTTCAAGTTATCTCTTGGATTTTCCGCTGGTAAACATAAAAGGGTTAAAAAAATTCCTGGTAATAAAACATCCGAGAAAAAAAGGTTAGAAATGCGGAATTGCATAGCATCCTTTACTTGTTATCAATCGCATTATACCAGATCCCACAATCCAAATAGAAAATAGTAATTAGAAGATTTAAATATTCGACTACTGTACAATTTATACACAGATAAAGTTCAAAGCGAAGGTAAGGAACCTGTAGCAGAGCACGTTTATCGTAGAACTTTTAATAACGAGTTCAACTGACATTTTTATGCACCTCACAAGGATACTTCTATAAAATGCGATATTTTTAATAATAAACTGAAACAATCACCAGAAGAATACGAAAAATTAAAACTTCGGCAGGACCATGAACTTCATCTACACAAAGCTGATACAGCTCGAGAATCAATGAAATTGTATACCAAAAAATCAGCTTCCAATAGATCTTACTATGCCTTTTCTTTCGACTTTGAAAAGTCTTTATCTTTCCCACGTCTAACATGTCAAATGGCCTACTATAAATGTAATTTGTACGTCTACAATTTAGGTTGCCATGAGCTTTCAACAAAAAAGGGATTCATGTATTGTTGGGATGAAATAACTGGATCTAGAGGTTCGCAAGAAATTGGCATTTGTTTAGTGTAACACATACAAACACGAGCATCAGAAGCAAAATATGTTTTTATGTATAATGAATTATACGTCTACTGGTCAAAAAGAACTGGAAAATAGCCCTAACAATATTAAAACTAGTGTTAAGTCAAGACAACAATATTAAAATAATAGACCAAAAGTTTATTCAAAGTGGTCATTCCCTTATGCTCAGTGGCTGTGATTTAGCTTCTATCTAGAATTACAGCAAAACTCAACAAACTTTTTGTCCCACTGATTACTTCAGTATTGTTGCCAAGTCAAGGGAAAAAAAGTCCTTTTCAGGTTACCGTTATGATGAATAATGATTTTTTGTCTTTGGACACATTGTTAAAGTCAATCACTAAAATAAAGAATGACACGAAAAAATACGCAGCATCATGCTTATAAATGCAATGAATACCAAAAGAGTCTATTCATATTACTCTTTACGGAAACTGTTTCGGATGGAATGTCATTCTTTGAGCTAGACCTAAAGCCAGGAACTAAAAAAGTAGACTTCGATCTGTGACCAAAGAGAAGAAAAATGACATGAAAGACCTTTTGCTTTTTATTTTACCCATTTATCATCCCTATTTTGAGAATCTGTTTACTTCAGAATCTGCTCAAGACATAGGGCCACTGCAGGTAAATGTCAATATTAAAGATGAGTAAAAAACTATATACGTTAAGTGTTGTTAACTAAAATATTAAATGTATGTTAAATAAAATGTTCACTTTTTTAACAAAGCTTTCTTAAAATATTACATTCCTGAATTTTTTATAACAATTCCAGTAAAACATTACATAAATCAAAACAAGGTTAATGTGACTTACACCACTTGTGCTTTAAGGGACACATATGTCGAGTAACCTTACTCAATTTACTTAAATAATAGTCAAAGGATTAATTAATTTATTGTTTTACTTCAGGTTCTATGGTACCAGCATTATCATTACTTGCTCTTGGATTTGTACCAGATGATCAAAGAACATTGTCTGTTATATTATTAGTAATAGGAGTAGGAATTCCAGCTGCTTGTTTTGTTGGTAGTGGTATAAATCATATCGACATAGCACCATCTTTTGCTGGGATTGTTCTCGCTATAATAAATAGCTGTGGAAGTTTTGTCTCCATATTCGGACCTTTGTCGGTACAACTTATAGATGAGGTAAGTCAAAATAAAAACATAAATCGTCATAACCTAATTCTATCATACCTACAGCCAATAATATTCATCTTTAGGCATAGACATTTTCCTCTTTTCTTCACCATTTTATATATTTAACCATTTGTCTTTCCATCCAACTTTGGCCGTGTAAATAGAGTGCAGATGTGGAAAATCCTAAGACTATATGGGATACCACTAAAATGATATATAAATTATTAAGATCTTCTTCGAATGATACAAACTGAAGTCAATCACTCTTCCCTACATTATTCTTTAGTATGATAAATTGGGTAATGAGAAAATAACCGACGATCGAACATGCATCAGATGAAACCTATTCGAACAGTTAGAAGATCTCGAGTTTGCCGATGACATATGCCTACTAACTGAACACCGAAGTCATATGCAAACAAAAATTGACAAATTTTCACAGCACTATAATACGATTGGACTGCGAATAAACATAGAGAAAACTGAGAGTAAGGAAAGTTGAAGAGGTAGAAAAGTTTACATATTTGGGGTCAATACAACAAACGAAATACGTTTACTTTATAAAGCAGAAACATTGAAATAGGACAAATCCACAACTAAAAAACTACAAACTTTTGTAAACAAATTTTTAAGAAAAATCCTAAAAATATACTGGCCCAATAGAATCACTAATACAAAACTACGGAAGCAAATCAACATATCAAATACAGTTAATAAAAAAATGAAAATGAATTAGCCACATTTTAACAAAAAAAGAAAGCAACATAATCAGATAAGCACTTGAGTACTACCAGAGGGAAAAGAAAGAGAGGAAGACCAGATAACAGCTGTAAAAGAACTATAACGAGAGAGCACGAAAACATCTGAATAAGATAATGTAAAATTAAAAACAGAGCAAGAAATAGAAGAGAATGTAAGGAACTAGTACACAGTTTATCCAGAGAATAAATAAGAAAGAAGATGCGCTAACCCAACCAGTCAGCAATCTTACACTGTTAGCCAAGAAGCGTATAAGCGCTCAATACTCCACATGGAGGGATGGAACTATAGGGAGATACCATATGTGATACATTATTCGAGAAGTATTTTTCTTAAGAATTCAGCCATTAATGATTTTTTTCCATATTTACTCTATTTTTGTGAAAAAGTCTGATTTTATTAAAAGTGTTAAACCCCTTTAAAACTAAACGCAACGCCTATGTTTTACCAGTGTCAATGGTAAATTATTTTTCGTCACGTCAAAAAATACAATGGAATTAAATTTTAAATTTTTAACATTACTAGGAAACTTTATTAAATGTAACGTAAATCAAATGGACTAAATTTTAAAGTAATAAATTCATAATTCAAAACAGTTTAATAAGCAGCTATGAATATTTTTAATTAAATTTAATTATGGTCGCTGCTCATTTTTTTTATTTTTAAATGTATATTTACAATATACCCATTAACAGTACATTAAGTAATTAGTAATTGTGATGACCATATTGATTTGATTTGGGTACCGTCCAGCGACAGTTCTCTATGTTTACCTATGTAACCAGGTCGTCTGGCCAAGTTCTCTTTAGTATTCGTTCCTCCATTGGTGGCTGATATAATTCACTGTTAATTTGGACTAAGAAGACTAATGTCCAGTTGCACCAATAAATAAACGATTGATTTTTTTATTTGGATTGCCCATTTATTTTGTAATATGTTGCACCAACCATTACTTGATTGGAACCGACTGTTTTTATCTGTCAAAAGTAACCAACCGATTTTCTACGGTTATTTAAAAAATCGACTGTTTTTAACCTCACTCTTACACTGTCTATATTATTAAAGTATTTTTAGCAAAGATTTTTATTTAAAGTATAATAGATTATAATTTAAAAAAATGGATTTATCATCATCTTCGTCGTCGAGTTCATCTTCTGACAATTTGGAAGATATAATGCATATATGTTACCAAATATAAGATATGTAAGAGATCGCAATGATTTGTATAATTAATATAATGAAGTTCAATTTAGGCAAGTTACATATATCAATATTTATCTGAATGACTAGAAATGCATTTTAATTATTTTAAGATATCGAGTAAGCAAGAAAACAGTGTTGGTCCTTTTAGAACGTTTTCATGAACATTTAAGTTATAGGTCAGGAAGGAATAATCCGGTGTAAAATAAGAAATAAAATAAATAGAGAAGTGGCTTCCCTTATTTTTCATCTTAAATACACACTACATACACAAAATTGCAAAAAAAAACAATGTTATTATAATAGTTCAATGTTCAATTGGATTGGCATAATCTTACAAATCTTTCTTTGTTGACAATCTTTTTGACAGATCACACTCCGATTCGAATGAAATAATCGAAATAATCTGTAGTTGTGCAATGTTGCCACGTAAAAATTGTCGGTTTGTAAACCAATAGTTTTTTAGAATGGGGCAACTCATTTGAAAAATAACCATTGATCGTTGATTTAAATCGTCCAATTGACGGTTAGCAAATAAATTGCAACTGTGCATAAGTTGAATTAGGAATTTTGGCCTTGTTGGCGTGAAGTGATATGACATCTTTTACGGTTGGTACTCCTAGACCTTGTGGATGGTTGCATTGCTCACATACCAAGAAGCCTTAGCTATCATACGCAGTGTTATTGATTGAAAGGTCTGCAAAATTTTTGTGTTTGAATACTTGCTACAGCCCCAGAGTTCTAGGCAGTAAGTCCATATTGGTTTTAGTAAGTCTTTGTAAAGCAGTATTTTATTCAATGACACTTCAAAGACAGTTGCGACTTTCTACCAAGTAACCAATTCATTTGCTTTAATTTTATATTGAACTGAGTTTTTTAGCGTTAGTGTATTGCTTTCAGGTCCAAGTGCAACCCAAGATATTTCACAACGTCTTTAGCAGGAATGCGGCACTGTTTAGACTAACTTGTGGATAATTGCGTTTTTTTCTTGTTAATGTGATTTGGCGGTTTGGCTGATTTTTGATTATTGACTTTAATTTTCCATTTTGTTAACCAATTCTCTAACGTATGTAAGTAGTTTTGCAGCTTTTCAGATGCTTTGTCTGGGTGGGTCTTTATTTGAAAATAAAACGGCTGTATCATCGGCAAAAGTCATCACTGTGACGTCATTTGTAAGAGGTATGTCAGCAGTAAAGATTAGGTACAGGAAGGAACCGAGTACACTTTCCTGAAGAAGTGCGGATTGGATTAATTGATAGGTTGAAAAATAATTATTGATTTTTGCTTAGAACGAACGTTTGTTAATATAGGACTTCAGGATAAGGTAAATATCGCTAGGCGATCAAGATTTTAATTTATATAGCAAAACTTTGTGCCAGACTTTATTAAAAGCCTGCTGAATATTGATAAATACTGAGGCATACATAGTCTTTACTCCCAAGTCTTTCTTTATTGTATTTCTTATCTTTCAAATATTTTAGACATCAAGGTTAACAAGCATATCGGACGATAGGAAGAAGGTTCTGTAGGCAATTTATCTCACTTTCCAATCATTGTAATATAAGCATATTTCCACTGGATCAGAACATGGCTCAACTGCATTATTCTATTATAGATAATGGTTGCTTTCCTGTGTAGATGTTTTAGGATTCTCACGTTGAATACCACGTATCCTGGGGCTTTGTGAGAGATTAACTTATTATTATTCTGCAAATTTCGAGTGGAGAGAATGCTTTTATTGGAGGTGATCGTTGACTGGGCGTATCTCTAGATGTTCAATTTGGAGTAAATGTATTTTTTTAATATTCTGCAAATACATTAGCTTTTTCATTGTCAGTATATGCCCAACTTATATCACGTTTTCTTATTGGAGTGGGTTTTCACATAAAGTGGTCACCTGGAGTAATATTTTTAATAGAAAAATTGGCGGTGTCATTACGAGCTTGATATAGAGCTGATGTTAGCCGGAGTGTTAGTTTTTTTAGCTGTGTCTTATCGAGTGGATCTTGGGACCTTTGTCATTTTGCGCGCGCTCTTCTTTTCCAGTTAGAATTTGTTTCATATGCAATGGCACATTGTTGTCTTTCTGTTCAAAATTGTGACGAATATTTTAAAGCACATTATGGGTTACTAGACTACATTCATTAATTTTATTCATCGTCTTAGTTCTTTCAACGAGCAATGAATTGTTTTGTGATAGGAAATAATGGAATAGATTGGAAAGAAGGAATAGTACGGATTGGATATCGCCTTATGGTTATGCTCTAATGCGGAGGTGCCCCGCATTGTTGAAAAAACCTTCTTCATCCCTTCTTAAGAAGCAATCTATGAAGCAATCATCTTTTTAGTACCTGTTTTCATTTTTAATTATATTTTCACAATGGCATTCACTGTGTTATCTAATAATTCTAGATATGCTTTTTCGTTCAAATTTTGTTGCAAAACGAATTGCCCAAAAACAGAACCCCCATAAATTCCTGCGCACACGCTTATATAAAGTTGTTATTTTTTTTGTTTAAATGGCATAGGCAAGTGCCATACAGCCAGTCACAACATGAAAATATTCTACTCAGAAAGAAGATTGTGTAGTACAATATAAAAAGATAATATAAAATTCAAAATTAAGTAGAATTACAAATTATAGGCATTAAAATTATTATTAAGGATAGGATAGGGATAAAACATGGACACTCTTTTCTAGTCTAGGGACCCATCAAGACATTGCTTTTAAGACAAACAAGATTAGGTCACGGATAAAAGGTAATAACAAATGGGGTAAAACAGAGGTTACGATTCTAATGACAGTTAAATATTAAGCTTACTTTTGCAAATAAATTCCATCAAGTATTCATTTACAACTCTTATATTTAGAGATAGCAGATAGCATATATTGTCCTGAGGAAAAATTTTGATGTTGACTAAATTTTTTATAAGATCTTTAGTTGGTTTTGTGTATTTTTTACATTCGAAGAAAATATGATTTAGATCATCTTCTTTTTGACAGTCTGGACATAAATTTGAATTTATGATTTTTAGTTTGGACAGATGACGAGGATAGCAGGCGTGTCCAAATTTTATTCTAATTATGGATGTTACATACCTTCGTGGAACAGAATAATTTTTGAACCAATAATCACTTGGGATTGAAGGTTGTATAGAAGCATATTGCGAGGAAGAATGCGTACTATATATATATATATATATATATATATATATATATATATATATATATATATATATATATATATGCCAAGATTGTTTCCATTTACTATTGATATTATTTTTAATTATTGTTAATGCGTCTTGTCTACAGATTTGGTGACCAGCTTGCGTTCCGGTATCAATGGCCTTTTTAGCTAATAGGTCAACATGTTCGTTGTATTTAAGACCTATATGTGCTTTAACCCACAAAAAATGAACAATTCTTCGGTTTTTATAAATGTCATAAACAAGTTTTTTTAATTTGAAAGACATATATATATTTGAGTTATTACTAGAAAAATTTAAAGTTTCAATGGCTACCATAACAGACAGTGAGTCAGATACTATTGTAACATATGTATTCTGAGTGTTTTCAAAGTAACTTAATGCTTTATATATTGCTACAGCTTCAGCACTAAAGATAGAAAAACTAGGATTTAGTCGACAAAGTTTTTCTCTATTAGTTGATGAAATGCAGAAAACACACCCAGTCCCAACAATAGACTTTGAGGTATCCGTATAAATAACTAAATAGTCTGACAGACTAGATAAACAGGACCTCAAAATATTAGAGCTAACAGAAGAATTTACATGGTAATTCGGTTGTATCACAGTAATGGGTTGCAAGAACGAATAAAAATGTTCAATGTTAAGATTATCCTCTGATTTAAAGTCATAATCAAAATTTGTCAGGCTTCTAAAAGCCTCACAAAGTGGAGGTGAGTTCTTAAGTCTCCAATATCGATTAGTTAAATCTTCTTCGTTCAGTTTTCTGATATTTGAGTAGAGAATAGTGTTACGATTTTGTATATTAATAACAAACTTTTGACTGAGGTATTCTCTTCTATAGCCCAAGGGATTTTCTAGAGCTTCCACATGTAGAGCATTAATTGGCGTCGATTTCATGGCTCCCAAATAAATACGCATTGCTGCGTTTTGAAATGCATCTATTGTTTTCAGAATATGTTTACTTGCTGAACCATATAATATGCATCCATATTAGATAATTGATCTAATATAAGATCGGAAGAAAAGTAAAGAAGTTTCCACATCTGCACCCCACCATGTTTTTGTAACTGATTTGAGGAAATTTAGACCCTTCTTACATCTATCCAACATAAACCAACGTGAAGTTTCCAAGTTAACTTGCGATCGAGAATCAGATAACAATAAAGTTGTTATTGTATAATAGGTATTGTGAAAATGTATTTTGTGGAAAATCCTACGATTTTCATCGGCCCAATAACGGCAGTTATATCGATTCAAAGTACCAGTTACAAAAAAAAAAAACATTCATCTGGAAAACGTTTATTAAATGAAAAGTTTGGGTAACTTTTTCGACCTTTTTGGACAAAAGCTACCGACCGATAGTGGTTTGCACTCTTCTGTGTCCTTTAGTTATTAACGTATAAGCTGCGGTAAAATTGATTATTTTAAATGATTAAGTTTTCTTACTACCCACAGTGATAGTAGTTGCTTACGCTTTTACTTTTATTTTTATTCAAAACTAAGCTTTATTTTTTTCTTTTAGACCAAAAAAGGACAATGGGCAATAATATTTACGATAGCTGCAGTAATGTATGGGGTATCATCGATTTTGTTTTTATTTTTTGCCACAGCTGATATTCAAGACTTTGATCCTGCCAACAAGGAAAAGATGACAAAAAGAAAAATGAGGGAGAAGAAACATTCTGTAATATCTGTAATCTCAATGTAAATACTTTAATAAATATGAAAATAGTAAATATTTTAATTATCTAAGAAATCACTTGAACGACTGAAACAGTTGCTATAAATGGGATTATTAAAAAATTTTTATAATAAATAAGAATAAAAAAAAAATAGAAACATTTTTATTGCTGTAGTTATTTAAGAAAATACTGTATAAACAAATACCATATAAAGTCCACAAGCTGTTAATCTTCTGATCTAATTCAAAACAAAAATAATAATCCACAAGGAAACGAAATTCCTGTAGCTGGCTATATACCATTTATCACAAACAATGTTTTATTTAAAACATTGTTTTTGATAAAAAAATTGTTTCTAGTGGCTGAAAAAGCCACTGGAAACAAAAATCTCGTATAGTATGCTCACAGAAGAAAATGAAGAAAGAAAAGACGAAGCAAATAATCAAGAAAACAGTACAAAAGATGCAAAAATTTAGGTGTTGCCCAACACATTTATGACCTACTTAAGCAAACTTGAGGAGATAGATACACGATTAAAACCATTAGTTATAAAACAGTAAAAGTTCAAGTCCTGGAGCCCGAACATTTTAAAACATTGATCACTGAACTTGATAAAAAGAATACGCAATACCACACTTTTAGGCCAAAAAGCGAAAAAACATTCAGGTTTGTCATAAAAGGACTGCAACATGGTACAGATACTGATGGCATAAAGGCAAATCTAGCAGCAGAAGGACACGAAGCAGTTAACATTCACAATATAAAACATTATGTATCAAAAACCCCCTTGCCAATGTTTTTCATTGATATCGTATCGAAGAAAAACAACAAAGAAGTTTATAAACTAGAAAAATTAGGAAACAGTATCATCAAATGCGAACCTCCTCGTTCGAAAAGAACAATCCCCCAGTATACAAGATGCCAACACACAGATGGACACACTAAAACGTATTGCTGCAAAGTACACAGATGCGTAAAATGTACGAAACAAAAGATTGTCCTCGAAAATCACGTGTTGACAAAGTAAAATGTGTCAATTGTAACGGTGACCACCCGGCTAACTATAGAGGATACCAAGTTCACATTCAACTATAGCAGAAGCTATATCCTACACTAAGAGAAAAAATAATCATGCAACCACCCATTCAAACAAATAATTCTCAACAAATACAACCTGATTTAACCTATTGTAAAATAGTCAACTTAGCCTACTACCTAATATCAACTTAGCCAAGCTGCAATAAATGATGCAAAAACTTATGGAGCAAATGGGCACAATTGTCAATTTGCTTACTACTCTCATTAATAAGATCGCTTAATGGCTTCACAACCAAAATATAAAATAGTAGTCTGGAACGCAAATGGCTTTTATCAATGGGCTAAAACTTACAAAGAACAAATTGGTAAAGAAATAATAAATAAGACTTACTCACAATCAATTTAATTTAACTATCCGACGACCGGTTTCGCTTTCTACAATATGCAAAGCATCTTCAGGTCTCGGTACAAAGTTAAACAAATGCTGAAATGATAAAAACCCATATTAGGGTGTTGTCTAATAAAGATAAACAAATTAGATGTTATAAATTACAATAATTATGCCAATATTACCTGTCTGTGGTTTTATTTAAATGATTGAGTTGAATAAAAGGTATAAATATATTTTTTTTAAAGTTAAAAGGACAAGGTAAGGCCCACAAATTGTCATAAAATCTCTTCTATTGTAATAAATTAATGAATGAGCAAATAAATAAATGAAATAAAATGCCCTTACATGCCGGTACTCTATTAATAGATGGATGGTAGAACATGTTTGTGATTGTGAGTAAGTCTTATTTATTATTTTTTTACCTATTTGAAATGGGCTCACACAAGCAACAAATTCATGATTTTACAAAGAACAATCATACTTAATCAAAATATTGATATAATTTTTCCAAAACTCACTTTACAGACAAACACTACCTGCGAATTCCCAGCTACAGGTTGTTTCATACAAGACACTCAGATGATAGATCTCACGGTGAAAGCGCCCTAACTATACGAAAGGAAAAAATATAACAAAGACTACCTGCAAGCAACCAGCTTAACAATTAAGGAAGAACTCGGCCCAATAACAATATTTGCCCTATACTGCCCACCTTAACATGCCGTTAAAAAAGAACACTTCCTAGAATATTTCAACAGTCTAGGAAACAAATTAATTGCAGGTGGAGATTATAATTTAAAACATCCGATGTGGGGCTCTAGATTAACAACACCAAGAGATAGAGAATTAGCTAAAGCAATGTTAGAAAATAACCTGAAAGAAATCTCTACTGGCGAACCAACTTATTGGCCGTCTGACTTAAACAAAATACCTAATGCCGTTGATTTCCGCATCACAAAAAGGATCGACACAAAAAAATGTAAAGCTGAATCATGCTTCGATTTATTATCAGACCACTCACCGTTTATAATAACAAAGTACATCAAATAACTTTGCATAACACCAAGACTAACTGGTCTCAATTTAGATAAAAACTAGACAGCCTGATCTCACTAAATCTGTCCTTGAAAAATGAACTTTAACTAGAATCAGCTGTAGATAACCTAACAAAAAGCATACAAACTGCTGCATGGTAAGCGACTCACAGCTACGAACCATATCCAAACAGAAATAATGTGTCTCCCACAATTAAACAAAAAAATTTTGGAAAACCGACAATTATGTAAAAATTGGCAACAGTCAAGAACGACAGAAAATAAAATAAAACTTAACAAAGCAACAAAGGAATTAAAGGAATTAATCCATGGAGAAGAAAACCATGGAATGGAATTCAAGGATATTTAGAAATTTTAACACCGGCTGAAGCTACAGATTACCCACTCTCGAACGCCAAGAAAATACTCGAACGGCCACAACAGTATAACCTACAAATCAAAGATGATACAAACACCTGGGCTAGGAACGGCAAGGAAAAGGCTGTTCTTTTTGACAAGCACGTTTAAACAGTATTCACGCCATACCCTTTTACAGTATCTACAAAGGAAGAAACATAACTAACCAGATTACTAACAGCACCGTTTCAAATGGATCTGCCCCATACGAAATTTACAGTCAATCAAGTAAAACAAACAATAAATGAAGTCAACGTCAAAAAAGCCCCTGGATTTGACCTAATCTCTGGCAAGATTCTAAAAGAAGTCTCGGATAAGTGCATAAAACTAATAACCAGTGCAATCCTGTGCCTGAACTACTTACCTAGTTCATGGAAAGCGGCACAAATCATAATGATCCTTAAACCCGGAAAAAAACTAGAAAATGCGTTTTCATACCGGCTTATAAGCCTTTTGCCTATGATCAGCAAAGTCCTTGAAAAAATGTATGTAAAAAGATTAAAAACGATAATAGACGAACATTAAATAATTCCAGAACATCAATTCGGTTTCCGAGACAAACACGGAACCATAGAACAAGTATAGGCTAGTCAACCAAATAAACAACGCCAAAAGGTACTATTCGGCTGCTTTTCTTGACATATCTCAGGCTTTTGACAAGGTATGGCACATAGTACTACAAATAAAATTAAAGAACCTCCTACCCTATCCTCACTTCCAGCTCTTAAAATCCTACATAGAAAATAGACACTTCTAGGTGAAGCACGCTACCGAGCACACTAAGATATATGCTATTCACCCAGGCATCCCACAAGGCAGCCTTTTTAGCCCAATTCTATATCTTTTATACACAGCGGACATTCCAACATCAAGTACAACTACTGTTGCAATGTATGCAGATGACACCGCTATTCTGGCATCCCACATAGATCCATCAAGAGCATCAAGAAATCTTTACTCACACCTAAATAGAATTCAGCAATGGATGAAAGTATACCGCATCAAATCTAATGGAACTAAGTCAATACATGTTACGTTCACACTACGTAGAGAAATATGCCCCCCTATATTATATATTGATAATAATTGTCTAATTCCACCATCCGAGGACGCTAAATATCTCGGCATACACTTGGATCGCCATCTAACATGCAAAAAACATATTTTTAACCAACGCAAAACAGCTTATACTTAAATTGAGAAATATGTATTGGGTCATTGGAAGCAATTCAAAACTATCTTTGGATACCAAAATTTTACTTAAAGTCCATCCTCAAGCCCATATGGACTTATGAGATTCAGCTATGAGGCACTGCTGGCGTTTCCAATACAAATATTTTACAGAAATTCCAAAACAAGGTACTGTGACATAGTCAATGCGCCATACTCTGTATCCAACGAGGTGATTCAACACGACATCCCCATAGAATCCGTGAAAGAATAATAATTATTCAAGCTAATAAAATTTTAATTTTAGAATTGTAAAGAGGTTACTCACTGGAGTAACTCTCTACATGTCTGCCTTGTTTTACCAATCAAATGCTTAATGGCCAATGGGCAGATTGTTGTACTCAATGGAGTTATTAAAAAAAAATTGTTTTGTAGAATTTATTAATTTTTTTTTTTTAATATTTTTATGCCCCATTACATTATTATACGTATTATTCTATTTCTAATATTAGCTAGATTAATTTTCTGGTTTAAATTTATTGTCTGTTCTCTCCTTTTCCTTTTCTTTTGATGGCTTTTTAATTTCTTCGCCTGTTACTTGTACTCATTAGTTGATCGATCCTGTTTACTCGTGATTTTCTAATTATGTTTAAAATAAATGCCCCTCAAAAATATTAGGTCTCTAACTTTAGTATGTTTAACCTATGTCTTTATCATCAATATGAACGAGGTAAACTTATCAATTTAACACAGCGAATAACGAAGAAATTGCACAAGAAAATACGCATAGTATACATAGCTAAGCATGGAAAATAAATATGTCATTATTCTTCTTCTTGATGTGCCTATCCGTTACGAATGTTGGCCATCATCATGGCAATCTTTAATCTTATCTGTTAGCAGCGCGAAAAGCTGCACAGATGTTTAATTGAACCAGATTCTGAGGTTCTTTAACCAAGATGATCTTCTTCTTCCTGGACCTCGCTTCCAAATATTTTCCTTGCAGGGTGGTCTTGAAAGGAGAGCATATCTAGATTCATTTCGCATAATATGTCCGAAGAATTGTATACTTTCGGAGATTCAAATGGTGG